ACAATAAAGGAGTTGGAAGGGACCTTGGAGGTCTTCTAGTCCAACCCTCTGCTTAGGCAGGAAACCCTACCCCACTAAGTTGCTCCCCCCTCCTCTTTTTTGGCAGCCCCTCAAATACTGGACTACCGCTATCATGTTATCCTCCCCCCTCCCCAGTCCTTCTTTTCTCTAGACTAGCCGTTCCCAATTCCCACAACCGTTCTTCCTATGTTTTAGTCTCCAGGCTTTTGATCATCTTAATTGCTCTCCTTTGCACTTTTTCCCAAAATCTCAACATCTTTTTTTGTAATGTGGTGACCAAAAACTGGATGCCGTATTCCAGATGTGGCCTTACTAAGGTTTCCTGCTGGTGTTGCAGCAAGGAAGAGAGGTGCCTGTGTTAATATAAACCCACCCATTTCCGTTCCTCCATAGTTTTTATTTCTTGACAGATATTTTAGCTGCTGAACTTCACCAAAGATTTCCGTTTAAACCAGGGGTGAAATCCAGCAGGTTCTGACAGGTTCTGGAGAACCGGTTGCAGAAATTTTGAGTAGTTCAGAGAACCAGCAAATGCCACCTCTGGCTGGCCCCAGAGTGGGGTGGGAATGGAGATTTTGCAGTATCCTTCCTCCTGGAGTGGGGTGGGAATGGGGATTTTGCAGTATCCTTCCCCTGGAGTGGGGTGGGAATGGGGATTTTGAAGTATCCTTCCCCCTGGAGTGGGGTGGGAATGGGGATTTTGCAGTATCCTTCCCCTGGAGTGGGGTGGGAATGGGGATTTTGCAGTATCCTTCCCCTGCCACACCCACCAAGCCACGCCCACAGAACCGGTATTTAAAAAAATTCTGGTCATAAATCAAGGTCTGCCTTTATCTTCTCGCTCAATTCCACTTGTCAGTCGAGGACTAAGTCTACATGCTGTGCTCAGTTCTGGTCATTAGTTGAGGATTCAATTCCTCTCATAAGTTGAGGACTGCCGTTGTCTTCTGCGCTCAATTCTGGTTGTAAGTTGAGAACTTCCTGTATCTTCTGGGCTCACTTCCGGTCGTAAATTGAGGGCTTCCTGTATCTTCTGGGCTTAATTCCAGTCGTAAGGCAAGGGCTGCCTATATCTTCTGGGCTTAATTCCAGTCGTAAGGCGAGGGCTGCCTATATCTTCTGGGCTTAATTCCGGTCGTAAGGCGAGGGCTGCCTGTATCTTCTGGGCTTAATTCCGGTTGTAAGGCGAGGGCTGCCTGTATCTTCTGGGCTTAATTCCGGTCGTAAGGCGAGGGCTGCCTATATCTTCTGGGCTTAATTCCGGTCGTAAGGCGAGGGCTGCCTGTATCTTCTGGGCTTAATTCCAGTCATAAGTCAAGGGCTGCCTGTATCTTCTGGGCTTAATTCCGGTTGTAAATTGATAATTTTCTATATCTTGCATGAAGCCAGGGTCAAAGCGATACAACTAGCGCCATCCGACCTGCAGCTGTGGGGCAGGGTAATCTGCAGGCCCGTTCACCCCAGTGCGACCCCAATGCATTCGGGGGTCTGCAGATAAAGAGTCTCGCCAGCTCAGAGATCCCCCCCTCCTCACAACAGCTGTTAGCCACCAGAAAATGTCCTTGGACAGATGTTCTTTGTGCAGGCTGCCCCATCTCCTTCCATCGCAAGAATACTCACCTCCACCAAGAGCAAAAGGGAGAAAAAATTACTATATTTCTCCCTCTTGCTGAGTAGGCCAAGGGGAACTGGAGAAAAGACGATTAGCCCGTCCCTAATCCATCATTCACTTTCCTCAAGGTGTCTCTTTCGGCAGCTGTCAGAAGTCACCCTGGCAACTGGGGAGGGGGGTGGGGGGGAGGGCGGAACGGCTTCTGCAATTTTTCTTCCCCACTTTTAAATTTTTTAAAATCCTTTTGCCTCCGTCCCGGTTCTGTCCCTTCTGGAACTGCCTTACCTGGGAGCTCTGCAGAGCTTAAAACAGGTGTGATGAAGGATGAGGCAGACAACAGGCCAGGTTGGAGCAAGGTTAGGATCCGGGGGGGGGGGAATCCATGGGGAAGCTGTGGATAGAAGGAATTGGGGTGAAAGCAACCTTTTGGGGGGGAAATGGTTTTTTTTCCTGCATCTCTTATTGCGTGGATGAGGTCTTCTAAATACATCTTTTATAGGAAGGAAGGAAGGAAGGAAGGAAGGAAAGGAAGGAAGGAAGGAAGGAAGGAAGGAGGGAAAGGATATGATGGTTGGATAGGTGGAAGGAAGGAAGGAGGATGTGATGGATGGAGGGATGGATGGATGGATGGATGGATGGATGGGAGAGAGATGTGATGGATGAATGGAAGAAGGAAGGAAGGAAGAATGGATGGATGGATGGAAGGAAGGAAGATGTGATGAATGGATGGATGGATGGAAGGGAGGGAGGGAGATGTGATGGATGAATGGAAGAAGGAAGAAAGGGAGGGAGGAAGGTGTGATGGATGAATGAATGAAAGAAAGAAGGAAGAAAGGAAGATATGAAGAATGGATGGGTGGGTGGAAGGAAAGAAGGAAGGAAGAATGGATGGAAGGGAGGGAGGGAGATGTGATGGATGAATGGAAGAAGGAAGGATGGATGGATGGATGGAAGGAAGGGAGGGAGATGTAATGGATGAATATAAGAAGGAAGGAAGAATAGATGGAAGGAAGGAAGGAAGAAATGAAGGGAGGGAGATGTGATGGATGAATGGAAGAAGGAAGGAAGAATGGATGGAAGGAAGGAAGGAAGAAAGGGAGGGAGATGTGATGGATGAAGGAAGGAAGGAAGGAAGAGCTGTAAATTGAGGACTACCTGAGTTGTATTACAGACTCAACCACTTGATGATAACCTTTTGCTTGGAGAAATTCCAGTACAGGTAGTCCTCGACTTACGACCACCATTGAGCCCAACATTTCTGTTGCTAAATGAGACATTTGTTAAGTGAGTTTTGTCCCATTTTATGACTTTTTTTGCCACCGTTGTTAAGCGAATCACTGCAGATATGAAGTCAGTAACAAGGTTGTTGAGTGAATCCGGCTTCCCCATTAACTGTACTCGTCGGAAGGTTGCAAAAGGGGGGAATCCCGTGACCCCCACTGCGACCGTCATAAATGCGAGCCGGTTGCCAAGCGGCTGAATTTTGATCACGTGATCACGGGGGTGCTGCCATCGTCGTAAGCGTGAAAAACGGTCGTAAGTCATTTTTTTCAGTCCCGCTGTAACTTCAAACAATCACTAAATGAACTGTTGTAAATCGAGGACTACTTATACTCCTCTTGCTCATACCTAAACTTTTAATCTTTTGCTGTTGATTTTGATTTTATGCAAAAAAATTAATAATATCCAAATTAGAATCACTTGTTCTGGATAACTGGAATTAAAATCCAGTTGATAATCAGTGTTGCAGATTTAAAAGGTAAAGGTTCCCCTCGCACATATGTGCTAGTCGTTCCTGACTCTAGGGGGCAGTGCTCCTCTCCGTTTCAAAGCTGAAGAGCCAGTGCTGTCTGAAGACGTCTCCGTGGTCCTGTGGCCGGCATGACTCAACGCCAAAGGCGCACGGAACGCTGTTCCCTTCCCACCAAAGGTGGTCCTATTTTTCTACTTGCATTTTTTACGTGCTTTCGAACTGCTAGGTTGGCAGAAGCTGGGACAACTCATGGGAGCTCACCCCATTTCGCAGCACTAGGGATTCGAACCGCTGAACTGCCGACCTTTCAATCGACAAACTCAGTGTCTTAGCCACTCAGCCACCACGTCCCATGTTGCTAGTTACTATGTATATATCAATAGTTTTGTAATTATTTTATTTATTTATATCAGAGATGGTATTCAGCGATCTGCAGGTGGGCCTGCCTGGGCACAATCCCGTCCTATATCGCTGTTTTTTTGATGCTGCACATATGCGAGGATGGTGCGTACGAGCGAATTGCTGTGTTGTTTGACGTTGCATGCATATCAGAGGTGGGTTTCAGCAGGTTCTGACCAGTTCTGGAGAACCGGTAGCGGAAATTTTGAGTAGTTTGGAGAATCGGTAGTAAAAATTCTGACTGGCCCCGCCCCCATCTATTCTCTGCCTCCCAAGTCCCAGCTGATCGGGAGGAAATGGGGATTTTGGAGTAACCTTCCCCTGGAGTGGGGTGGGAATGGAGATTTTACAGTATCCTTCCCCTGGAGTGGGATAGGAATGGAGATTTTACAGTATCCTTCTCCTGCCATGCCCACCAAGCCACGCCCACCAAGCCACACCCACAGAACCAGTAGTAAAAAATTTTGAAACCCAACCTACCACTAATGCATATATATTTCCGGTGCTGGGCAAACTGGTTGCCACAATATATGAAGTCCACTTCTGATTTATATGTTCTATTTGTATACCACCAAATCCATGCAAACTCACAGCAGTTCATAGGACAGTGAACAAAGAAAAGAACCAGAAGCAAATAAAAGGTCCACAGATGAGTAAAATTAAAAATAGCCAGTTTATTAATCCAATAACAGAAATATGCCGCTAATTCTAATCCCTGGTAATAATTTTTTTAAAAAAACAAAAAAATCCACTAAATCAAATCACAACATGCCAGGCGCTAACATGAAAGAATATAGATAAAACTAAGCCGAAAGTGAAATTAAGAAAAAGAGATGACAACACTATTTGTAAGAGTCGGGGACATTATGAAAAGAAGGGAAAGTAGATGGGAAAAAAGACTCAAGATTGGGGTGCTTTTTTTTTTTTTTTATGCTTTACAAGCACTCAGGATTTGCGGCCGAGCGTCCAGAATTAATGAATAAAAAAATGCAGCACTCGACGGAATCAATTTTTACTCCCCTTTTTTCCCATTTAACACAACATGAAATGTCCATTTTCACGATGACGTGCCTAAGTGCTCGGTTCTTGCTGACTGAAAGCATAAGAGAGAGAGAGAGAGAGAGAGAGAGATCATCTCGAGCTCCCCAAATTCAAGAAACCCATCAGAAAAAAAACACTTCATAACTGACCTTCTATTTCTTCTTCTTGCTTTAGGCTACCTCACGGTCAGTATTGAGCCTCTTCCTCCTGTGGTCGTGGGCGACGCCGTGACCCTGAAATGTAACTTCAAGACCGACGGCAGAATGAGAGAAATCGTCTGGTATCGGGTGAGTCTGCTTTCTCTTCTCAAGAGGCTCAGGTTCTTCTGACTCTTCTGACTCACAGAATACTGTGTTTCCCCGAAAGTAAGACCAAGTCTTACATTAATTTTTGTTTCAAAAGACGCATTAGGGCTTATTTTCTGGTTTTCTTATTTTGGGGGGAAATAGGGTACTAAAGGCATCCATCTGGCTGACAAGCTTAACTGGGGCTTATTTTGGGGGCTAGGGCTTATATTACGAGCATCCTGAAAAAATCGTGCTGGGACTTATTTTCCGGTTGGGTCCTATTTTCGGGAAAAATGACAAAAGGGGTCCATTCCTTTGGATTCCACCAGGAGGTGAAACTTCCGTTTAATCCTCTACAAAGTTTACTGGGTGATATTTAGAATAGAATAACAGAGTCGGAAGGGACCTTGGAGGTCTTCTAGACAAACCCTTTGCTCAAGCAGGAGACCCTATACCCGTGATTGTGAACCTATGGCACATGGAGCCACGCAAGCTCAGCTCCGGCAAGCATGTGCGTGCCGGCCAGCTGATTTTCGGGCCTTTTGGGCCTACCGGAAGTCAGGAAAAAGGCTGTTTCTGGCCTCCAGAGGGCCTCCGGGGGAGGTGGGGAAGGCTGTTTTTGCCTTCCCCAGCCTCCTAGAAAGGCTCTGGAGTCTGGGGAGAGTGAAAAATGGGCCTTCTAGTGGGACCAGAAGTCGGCAAACGAGCCATTTCCGGCCTTCAGATGGCCTCTGGAAGGCCTTCCGGGGGGGAGGGGAAAGGCTGTTTCGCCCTCCCCAGCCTCCTAGAAAGGCTCTGGAGCCTGGGGAGAGCGAGAAATGGGCCTACCTTGCCATCACATGCCAAAAGTGGGAGGAGTGTGGGGGGTTCGCGCACACATGCACAGGGGGCAGTGGGCATAGAATTATGGGTGTGGGCAGGTGCGCGAGCGACCTCCCCGCACTCCCCCCACTTTTGGCACGCGATGGCAAAAAGGTTAGCCATCACTGCCCTATACAATTTCAGACAAACGGTTGTCCAATTTCTTCTTGAGAAATCTCCAGTGATGAAGCACCCACAACTTTCTGGAGGGAAGCCCTTCCACTGATCAATTGTTCTCACAGTCAGAAAATTTCTCCTTAGTTCCAGGTTGCTTCTCTCCTTGATTAGTTTCCATCCGTTGCTTCCTGTCCTGCCTTCAGGTGTTTTGGAGAATAGCTTCACTCCCTCTTTTTTCTTGGCACCCCTCAGATATTGGAACACTTCTATCTTGTCCTTCTTTTCATTAAACTATTCCTAGTCCTTCTTTTCATTAAATGAGACATGCACAATTCCTGCAACCGTTTGTCATATGTTTTAGCACCCTGTCCCCTAATCATTTTTGTTACTCTTCTCCGCACTCTTTCCAGAGTCTCAATATCTTTCTTACATCGTGGCGACTGTTAGGTAATAGTTATTTGTCTAACTAGTTGGTCAGGCAATATATAAACCAACAATGGATGTTTGCAGTCAGAAAGGTATTATATTGCTTTAAAACTATATTGCATCATCCTGTATCCTGATTGGCTAAGCTCTGTAGCCAATGTACTTAAGGGAAGTCAGGATCATGGCTTGTGTGGATACTACACCATTTTACCTGCTTATTTGCTGTAACTCTCTACCTGATCTCTCTGCATGATCACTGTTTGATCATAGCTACATGTTGTTTTATTTATTGAATGTTTTGAGATTGAACTTGTTCCTGTTTTGAAACTCAAGAAGAACTGTTTTATTGTGTATGACTACAACTGGTAAGAAGACTTTGTACTTGAAATATCCCTGGATTGATCTTTTAACTCTCGTCTTATCTGTGTATGACTTGGATTGTTTTTGGATTTTCCTTTACTTTTTCTAAAAGTAAAAGACTACAACAACTCAGTGTGTTTGTATGTTGACTGTGATTGTTCGCAACCATTCCCAGTCACTTTTCATGCGTTTACTCAAAGGGTACTCTGCTCAATAACCTACAACATCGGTTATGAGCCAAGAATATCCTTAACAGCGATGAAAACTGGATGCTGTATTGCAAGCATGGCCTTACCAAGGTCTTATAAAACAGTACTAACACATCACTTGATCTTGATTCTGTCCCTCTGTTAATGCAGCCTAGGATTGCATTTTTTTGGGGGGGGGGCAACTGGCTCAGTACAATGCTGGCTCATATTTAACTGATTGTCCACTAGGATCACACCCTGAAAATTCATCGTTGAGAAAGGGTGGATCTCCAGACACTGTCACACTCTTGTTTCCAATGGACCTTAGCTGGGGCTGAGGAACCTCTAGCAATCCACCAGTTTCCACTCTTGCTGTAGCTGTAACCCAAAGGAAGAAGGCACCGGCTGGAAAGAAACACCATGGGATGCTTGAGGGAACATCTCTTTATAGAGGGAGGTGTCACCTTCTTCCTCTTTGACAAGTAAGGTTGGCGGGTAAATTTCGTTGGATTGGCCTTTTGGCACAATTCTCAGCTCCCAGAGTTAGCATAGAAAGTCGTGATCCCATTATCTTTTGCATGTTGCACACCTCTGAATTTTACCGTCCCTTCCCTTCCCTTCCCTTCCCTTCCCTTCCCTTCCCGTCCCTTCCCTTCCCTTCCCGTCCCGTCCCGTCCCATCCCGTCCCATTCCATTCCATTCTTCATTTCAATATTCTGTTCTGTTCTGTTCTGTTCTGTCGTACATTCTATTCTATTCTATTCTATTCTATTCTATTCTATTCTATTCTATTCTATTCTATTCTATTCTATTCTATTCTATTCTATTCTATTCTATTCCATTCCATTCCATTCCATTCCATTCCATTCCACTCCACTCCACTCCACTCCACTCCACTCCATTCCATTTTAGTCTTCATTCCAATATTCTATTCTGTTCTGTTCTGTTCTGTTCTGTTCTGTTCTATTCTATTCTTCATTCCAATATTCTATTCTAATTCTATTCTATTCTATTCTATTCTATTCTATTCTATTCTATTCTATTCTATTCTATTCTATTCTATTCTATTCTATTCTATTCTCTGCCCCGAATGTTTGCCTCCTTTTAACAACCGGTGGAGTTCTCTGGCTGACACCCCCACCCCCAACACACACACGTAAATTGTCCTGCGTCTATTAGCAATCTGTGTCAACATTATTTAGTTTTGGATCAACTGGATGGAGTCAGAAGGCGCCTTATCTGCAAACCCATTAAATTTTCAGGTTGTGGACGGAATTGAAAACCTGCCTGTGTATTTGATTGCCATTCAGCCTTAACTCTTGCCCTCAGTGATTTCTTTGGCCAACCTTGAAAAAAAAATAGAAAAAAAAAAATTGTTGTTCTGTATCTTATCACTTTGCCCCTAGCAATCTCTCTCTCTCTCTCTCTATATATATATATCTATTTAGAATTCAGTTGTATTCTTGCTGGCATTCCGTGCAAGGTCATTTCTTCCAAAATGGAAATATTTTCAAGATGCTTCGATTTGGAAATAACTCAATCCCACCCGCCATCAGATCAAAATGGCAAAATTGGAGCAATTGTGTGAATTCAAAAGAAGGGGTTTAGCTGATTTGTACGCCCTCGACGCCGTGGTGCAAAGAAAAAAAAAAGGTTCGGACCAAATTAGGCGTTTATTCAGCATTTCTTTAATCTGCCCATCGACAGAAGTGTTCTGGATAGATGATAAAGATATATATATGTGGCAGTAACAGCAGCAGACTGCACCGTGGAGTGGAATGCGAAAAAGGAACAGAGCATTTAATAGCCATTGTGTCTTTAGAATAGGAGCTGTTCAAATAGAATGGACCAGAATTGTTGTTCTTATCATTGTCAGTTGCAAAGTCGTGTCATCGTGACCCCATGGACAACGTTCCTCCAGGCCTTCCTCTTCCTCCACCATCCCCTGGAGTCCATTTAAGCTCATGCCGACTGCTTTGATGACTCCATCCAGCCATCCCCTTCTTCTTTTGCCCTCCATCTTTCCCAGCATTCGGCTCTTCTCCAGTGAGTCCTTCCTTCTCATTAGGTGGCCAAAGGATTTGAGTTTCCACTTCAGGATCTGGCCTTCCAAAGAGCAATCAGGGTTGATCTCCTCTAGGACTGACCGGTTGGATCGCCTTGCGGTCCAAGGGACTCGCAGGAGTCTTCTCCAGCACCAGAGTTCAAAGCACAATTGCACAGTTCATGTAACCGTTCTTCGTATGTTTTAGCCTCCAGTCCCCTAATCCTCTTTGTTGCTCTTCTCTGCACTCTTTCTAGAGTCTCCACATCTTTTTCACATCGTGGCGACCAAAACTGGATGCAGGATTCCAAGTGTGGCCTTACCAAGGCCTTATAAAATGCTATTAACACTTCACGTGGTCTTGATTCTATCCCTCTGTTGATGCAGCCTAGAACTGTGTTGGCTTTTTTGGCAGCTGCTGCACACAGCTGGCTCTTTATTTATCCACTAGGACTCCAAGATTACTGCTATCGAGAAAGGTACCACATATACTGTCCCTAGTGCATTTTCTTTTTCTTTGTCATTTGTCTGAAGTGGTATACCTGAAGTTTTCTGCCTGAGCATGGGGTTGGACTAGAAGACCTCCAAGGTCCCTTCCAACTGTTATTCATTGAAAGGCACCAGATAAGAGATTGGATCAGTGGTGAAATTCAATTTTTTTTTACTACCGGTTCTGTGGGCGTGGCTTGGTGGGTGTGGTGTGGCTTGGTGGGCGTGGCAGGAGAAGGATACTGCAAAATCTCCATTCCCTCCCCACTCCAGGGGAAGGATACTGCAAAATCCCCATTCCCCCCCCCACTCCAGGGGAAGGATAATGCAAAATCCCCATTCCCTCCCCACTCCAGGGGAAGGATACTGCAAAATCCCCATTCCCCCCCCCCACTCCAGGGGAAGGATACTGCAAAATCCCCATTCCCTCCACACCCCAGGGGAAGGATACTGCAAAATCCCCATTCCCCCTCCCACTCCAGGGGAAGGATAATGCAAAATCCCCATTCCCTCCC